GTCCAAGACAACACAAACAAACAATGTGTCAGAGACAACACAAACAAATGTGTCAGAGACAACACAAACAAAATGTCAGAGACAACACAGACAAACAATATGTCAGAGACAACACAAACAACATGGCCGAGACAACACAAACAAACAATGTGTCAGAGACAATGCAAATAAACAAACAATTTGTCAGAGACAGACAACACAAACAAACAAGCAAGCTTAGCATAGGTCTGACATGTGTTGTTGTGTTTGACATGTGTTTTTGTGTTTGACATGTATTGTTGTGCCTGACTCGTGTTGTTGTATTTGACTTGTGTTGTTTTTTACATGTGTTGTTGTCTGATGTGTGCTGTTGTGTCTGACATGTTTTGTTATGTTTGACATGTATTGTTGTGTTTGACATGTGTTGTTGTGTCTGATGTGTGCTGTTGTGTCTGACATGTTTTGTTATGTTTGACATGTGTTGTTGTGTTTGACATGTGTTGCTGTGTCTGACATGTTTTGTTATGTTTGACATGTGTTGTGTCTGACATGTGTTGCTGTGTCTGACATGTGTTTTTATGTTTGACATGTGTTGTGTCTGACATGTGTTGTTGTATTTGACAAGTGTTTTTGTGTCTGACATGTTTTTTTGTGTTTGACATGCATTTTTGTGTTTGACATGTATTGTTGTGCCTGACTTGTGTTGTTGTGTTTGACATGTGTTGCTGTGTCTGACATGTTTTGTTATGTTTGACATGTGTTTTGACATGTGTTGCTGTGTCTGATGTTTTGTTATGTTTGACATGTGTTGCTGTGTCTGACATGTGTTTTTATGTTTGACATGTGTTGTGTCTGACATGTATTGTTGTATTTGACAAGTGTTTTTGTGTTTGACATGTATTGTTGTGCCTGACTTGTGTTGTTGTGTTTGACATGTGTTGCTGTGTCTGACATGTGTTGTTGTGTTTGACATGTGTTTTTGTGTTTTGACATGTGTTTTTGTGTTTTGACATGTGTTTTTGTGTTTGACATGTTTTGTTATGTTTGACATGTGTTGTTGTGTTTCACATGCGTTTTTTTTATTTTTATATGTGTTGTTGTGTTTGACGTGTTTTTGTGTTTGACATGTGTTTTTGTGTTTGACGTGTTGTTTTTTTACATGTGTTGTGTTTGAGTTGTTTTGTTGAGTTTGAGTTGTGTTGTTGTGTTTGACTTGTGTTTTTGTGCTTGACATGCATTGTTGTGTCTGACTTGTGTTGTTGTGCTTGACATGTTGTTGTGTCTGACTTGTGTTGTTGTGCTTGACATGTTGTTGTGTCTGACTTGTGTTGTTTTATTCATGTGTTGTTGTGTTTGAGTTGTGTTTTTGACTTGTGTTGTTTTATTTGACGTGTTGTTGTGTCTGACATGTGTTTTATGTTTGACATGTGTTGTTGTGTTTGACATGTGTTTTTGTGTTTGACATGTGTTTTTATGTTTGACATGTGTTGTTGTGCTTGACATGTGTTGTGTTTGACTTGTGTTGTTTTTTACATGTGTTGTTGTGTTTGACATGTGTTTTTGTGTTTGACATGTGTTGCTGTGTCTGACATGTTTTGTTATGTTTGACATGTGTTGTTGTGTTTGACATGTGTTTTTGTGTTTGACATGTGTTGCTGTGTCTGACATATTTTGTTATGTTTGACATGTGTTGCTGTGCTTGACATGTGTTGTTGTGTTTGACTTGTGTTGTTTTTTACATGTGTTTTTGTGTTTGACATGTCATGTTGTGCCTGACTTGTGTTGTTGTGTTTGAGTTGTTTTATTGTGTTTGAGTTGTGTTGTTGTGTTTGAGTTGTTTTTTGTATGTCTGACATATGTTGTTGTGTTTGACTTGTGTTGTTTTTTACATGTGTTGTTGTGTTTGAGTTGTTTTGTTGTGTTTGATGAGTTGTTGTATCTGACATGTGTTGTTGTGTTTGACTTGTGTTGTTTTTTACATGTGTTGTTGTGTTTGATTTGTGTTGTTGTGTTTGACTTGTGTTTTTGTGCTTGACATGCATTGTTGTCTGACTTGCGTTGTTG